CACGAACTCGTTATATAGAGCGTGTAACAGACCGCCAGAGTAGCTAGAATGGGGAAGAACTAAGGAAGATGGTTCTCTTTCCGTGAATATTGCTGAACAGAGGGCGAGACCACTTGTTGCTATATCTTGTTCAGGCTGAGGACGGATGATCTGGCGCACGGTAAAGGTGTGCGGCGAGACCTATAAGTGAAAACTTAATCATTCAATATTCGAATATTCGTGCGCTGCCATTCCGACAACGCCCCAAGATTGACCAGCGTTGGAGAATATCTAGCAAAATCATGACGATCAAATTCGAAGCAGCTGAGCTACATAGTACATAACGTCGGTTGTCAAAGGTTGTCAATGAGAAAAGAAGAAGTTTGTAGACTGCTCCCCTTGTCGCTGACGAATATCCATAGTGCGTGCTAAAAGGTGAACAAATGTCGGCGGGGGCGTCGTATAGAGCGATGGTTTTGTCGGGTTGAATAAATTATGTCACACGTGTCACACATTCGAGCTGGGTGGAGTCACATTTTCACAACACCTGCGATTTGTCACCAACACGCCAATTGCGCCAACGCTGTCGATCCCCAACTGTTACAGTACCACAATTACTGGCTACGGCTGTTACTGATGACTGTTAGACATCCTGATTCAAATGCAACCGAAATAAATATGTATTTACATGTACAAGATAAGTTATAATTTTTTGTGGATATCGTCCACATTTACTGTCGTCTCCCTTTTATTAGTGAATCTTTCCGCACGCACGCCTATATCGTGCATCTTGACTATTTACGAACCTGGTAATCGGTACGATACTCTCTTCACAAAAGTTGCTTCTGTCGAACCCTCGCCTAATGCAAGCCAGTCCTACGCGGAATAATTTCAGTGGGTTGGTGGATCCGGCTCATATCCAGGTGGAGGGTTTTCCAGCAAACCTTCCCTAGAAGCCGACTGTTGTCCTCTCAGAAGTGAAACCTGATCCCGAAGTTCTTGAATTTGTTGAGCCATCTCACGCGTTGTCTCAGTCCCGCTTGTACTCCTTCCACTCGCGCTCCCAGATTGACCTCGCTGACTCCGCCTACCCGACAACGAAAGACTCTGTCCGGGTGGATCCTGGCTGGTTCCAGACGTCACAGAAGCGACATCTTCTGAAGGGAATCCAGGACGCCTATTCTCTGCCAGCTGCCCGGCACGATTAATTTCCTCCAACTTCCCAAGTGGCGAAGGATGACTTTCTTTATCAGATACGACCGGAGACCTAGTAGCAGTCGTTTCCGACTCGTCCAACAGATCGGCCATGACCGGAAAGTGATCAATGACTTCCAACGACTTTGTCTTGTAGCGACGCCTGTACCATACGACGCACAATGCTGCTAACAGTAGGAGAATCACCACTCCTACTACGGCCCCTACGATGGCACCTGTAGGTTTGGATTTGTTAGATCCCGTGGCCGAGTCTGACTGCGTCTGCGTTACAGGTTGCGATGCACCTGAACTAGTTGAAACTGGTGTTGCCGACGCTGCTGTGCTAGAAGCTGGAGAAGCCGGAGAAGTAGAAACTGGTGTTGAAGAATCTGATGCTGAAGAAGTGGTCGCGGTTAAGCTAGATGTGGTCTTACCGCCAGTTACGGTACCTGGACTAGGGGAAACCGGCGCAGTTGAGGGTGCGTTGGTAATAGGATTTGTATCTTGAGGAGAGGGGCTACCTGGCGATGATGAAACGACATCATCTTCAAAACTATATGATGTTTACGTCAAGCCTGTAAATAGCCTATCTGAAATCAAAATACAAGGGTTACTCACGTATACTTGGCATAATCGAAATTGACGTAGATGCTGGTGGGTACCTGAGACGCGGATATGACCAGCGTGTGCTGAGTATTCTGCAGGTTCAGTTGATTGAAAACGAGCTGATTGTACTGTATAGGCGGGTTTTGCGAGTCGGCAGTGTGTTCAAAACGTTGTGGAGAATTGCCATCCAATGTGAAATCCACGAGTGTTTCGGTACTGAGGCCCGCTCCTACGTTATTGACGAGGACAAAAAAGACGTAAATCGCAGTCCCTGAAAAGATTCACGTTGCCAAGCTTAGCATTTCTTCGAAAGATAGTGCTAGAAAAGACTTGCCAGTAAACTGCATAGTTATGCTCATGGTGCCATTAGTCGGATACCACGTCGCAGCCGTGTAGGTGTTGTCGAACACTTGACTTAAATCAGGTTTAATGGCACATACTTCGCAATTTTGATTTGCCCAAGGTCCTTGGGGAGTTATCGGTGAGTATATGACATCGCTGGAGGCGTCGTCGATAGTTCGGTTAACAGCATCCCCTTGTACAAGAGGCAGAAAGAGACAGAACAGCCAGGTAATGAGGACGCCTATGCTGCGTCGTGGCATGAACATGGCAGGAACTTGGGCCTGAGGAGACCCAAAACGTTCCCAACGGTTTAATCTAGGGATGATGATCGGCATTGACACGCCTGGGAAGCCTTATCCACACTTGTGACCGATAGAAGCAGCTTGGAAAAGGTTCAGCTAGCTCCCATCCTGCTCCCATCTGTCGCAAGTAAATTGCAACGCATGGAGCTCTTCTGATGGACAACCGGGATGCCTTTGCGATGCAGAACGTTAGCGTTTGTCCTCGCCTCTGTTTGTATACAATTTATGAAATGGAAGGACACACCTATGTGCATATTGATGATGATATATCATCGCTTGGTGCGAGCTTCATCGAACTCGACTGACTGTTAACAAACGTCGAATTTATCCCACGGATGATCGGGGCATCCCAGCCATCATCAAACCATTCGGCCTTCGCGTCGTCCAAAAGGGATCGGCTCTGCTTCAGTCCTCGGCATTTCCACGGTTATTCGGATTGATTAGCACCATCCACATTTTATGCTCTGGTACTTCCACTTTCGTCCCAAATTGGGGCGATCTGAAGTATTCCGCTTCCTTCTAAGCTAGATATCCGTAGTGGCACAATCACACTACAGTGCTATTAGAGTACCCAGTATGTCTCCGGAGATATAAAATGTATATTTATACTAAAGAGATTTGCGCAAGTGACGATAAAGGGGACATCCGCACAAATTACATGAGCAGTGCAGAGTTGAAGGCTTCCTCCTGAAATCATTTAAAAATAACGGAGGCAGCAGACGTCCAGGAGATCTATCTAAAGTGTGGTATAAAATCCGTCCATTGAACAACACCATACGCACTGTCTGGTAATTTCCTCAGAGATATAAAAGCCTCCGTCAGTAGTATAATTCGCGCAACAAGATAAGGCGTCGCAAAAACGGGTAAGAACCTTGAGAGTACTTCAGCTGGACGAGTGGCTATTCTTGCACCCAATAATGATAGCACTGTCCCATGAGCAACCAAAAAAATAAATGGGATCACGGTGACGATGACTGAACAGGCCTGCCAGACGACCTTCTCGGCATGCGAAGGGAATGACAGCGTCCAACCAGTGCAGTGTATCAACCCAAAAAGCGTGCCTATCACCTCGATCACACAGAAAGACAGAACATTTTTCCTAATGTTCCTTCTTGACCAGTCGCTGTTGGAATACACGAAGAATGTAGGGACCTTTAAGTCGTGAAAGTACTCTGAGGCTTCTCGATCCCGAGCCCACATGGATCGAAGTCTTCGCGAAACGAGTTTGACCCCATGAACCAGTAAGACATTGCAAAAGAAGAATGGCCGTGATGATTTAAACACGACAAAACCCACTGTAACAAGGATGTCAGAGTATAGCAAAAACATTTTCGTTGCGGATGGACACACCTGCGGATGACGACTCCTCAGGATTAGTAGGGACAGTTGTACTAACCAGTTTTGCTTCATGACCCGACACCCTTTGCTGCTCGATTTCGTTGTGGTCCAAAGGTCCCTCAAGAGGGTGCACGGACTGAGATACAGAGGATTGTATCTCTGCATACGTAGGTTCCGAGTCAACGTAGACAACCGTGGCCGTGGTGGACATATAATGTTCACTAGACAGGTCCACGAAAATTGGCGTTGGCAACGGACTAGAATGTTCGTACAACGTAACGCAGGAGCGAACGTCAAAAGGTTTATTCCACCAAAAGAAGTACATGAGCGCGTTGAAGAATGCCAAAGCGACCGTGGCGATTTCTAATTGGGTGATGGCAAGGCCCTGTACTTTACGTGATATGCACTGTATGATGAACCAGGACGTCTGTGCGATCGCCAGGCCTTTCGATAGTTGATCCCCTTTACTCCTATCTTGGATTTCGTCTTTAGTTATCCTTGGAAAAGCGAGCTTCTTGGCCTGCAGAAGATCATGAAACTCTTGAGGATGCAGGGCTTTGTCGCTATCGCTGTCGTTTCGTGCTGCCAGTCTGAATCCACCCATCTGTAGAAAGTGTGCATGCGTCATAGTCCAACCATAGGCTTCCGAGGTCATGTTAACATGGGCAGCCTTTTACATTTCATTTGAATTGACATACCTCTAAACGACCGAGATATCATATAAGCACCCATAAACTGCCTTAACGCCCAAAATAAGACCAGTTCTGGGACAAGAGTAGCCCAGAGCATTAGCTCCAGCCTTCGTAGGAGGATTCGAAAACTTCCGTCATTGGGATCTGGGATGTTAGGGTGAACGGACACCCACGTGCAGGCAAATATCGTAGCCAAGCACCCCCATAAGATATCCCACAGTGATCTCTGGCTTTGATAGGAAGGAGAGGGTAGTTGCTGCTGTAGAGTAGATTGGACAGTTGAATTCGCGACGTTGGACAATGGGGATGCAAGCCCGCCGTTTTGAGCTATCAAGACAAAGCCAAGTGTGACAAGCATCCTGTACAAGACGAGGGGTTTGTTTCCTAGGCCGCTGAGCTTTATAGCCATTGATAACCATGCATGGGGCAGTGCAGAGTCTAAAAATATTGTCGCATAGTCAGAACGGCACGGAAGAGCATAGCCAAGGCGAGGGCCCTGTCAGTAGCAAAAAAATTAAGGGAAACAAGGGTCACGTGGCAAAAGTAATGCTCCCTGCAAGGCTCGAACTTGCGACCTCAGGATTGTATGACCATACGATCACTCACATGTAAGTATGAGACCTGCGCTCTAGCCAACTGAGCCAAGGAAGCTTAGCAACGCTGTCATCAATGAATTTACATATCGGGCAGCACACTAGCATAAAGTTCAAATCAGCCGTTATTGCCAAGGTTTTAAATCATGCCGACGCAGTTATTTCCGATGCATTGAAATGATAGTACATAATTATTGATAACGTCGTCTAAGCTTCACAACAGTACGGATACCCATTAGTAGGATGTTCATATCAGTAAGAGATACCTAGAGAGACAGGAAATACAATTATCGGCCATCACGACCCAATTCCAGCTAAAACCTTGAATACATCTTCTTGTCTCTCCTTAAACGCCTTTAAGCGCGTCATACCGAGACTGAGGCCATTAATCCGATTAGCGAAAGCCACTCCACGGCCTTCCACACTGCGCCTGCCATCCCGAGCGTCGCTCAGGCTCTGGTCGTATCCGACGCCCTCCTCCAAAATCTTCTTCACCCTGTCCAGCCGCGAAGGAGGTACGTCCTTCCCAGCTTGTACCAAATCGATGGCAGTCTTTGTATCCTCCTCTTCGATCTCCTTCGCCTGGTGCCCGATGCCAGCTAGCTCGAGCATGAAAGGCCGTAACGCCTTGGGGCACTCCTCCAGCGTTAAAGGTTTCCCTAACACACCGACGATTGCGCCGTCTGGGGTGACGGAGGTCGTAGCGACATCAAGGATGGCGAATGCCACAGAGGCAAAGTACGCCCGCGTTCTGTCCCGTTTGAGTAGTCTGCGCAGGGAAGGTTGTCTTTCTAGAGCATCAGCGGATTGAGGCATAGAGTGTTTCGCGAATAAATTCGATGGCGGGCGAGTCTTGGGCGAGTATTGAAGGTGAAGATGGTGTTCCACCGAGAGTCGAAGAGGAAGATGAGAAAGTAGATCGGGAAGTAGAGAAAGGGGAGAGTAATCCAGGAGATTGGGGTGGTAAATTAGTGTTGCCATTCGGTGAAGGGTGTGCCGGGTATGGATTCGGAAGTTCAAGTTCCAGTGAGGGCCGTGGAGATGAATTGGGCGATGGTTCGTATACCGGAGGAGGGACAAAAGACGCCTTTCGTGGCCTGGAAGATCCCTCTGGTCACCACCAGCATCCAACGCTGCCTGTAAATCCGAGGCGTAGCGGTCTTGGAAAGACCGGCGCTGGCTGATTTCGATAGCCACCGCACGAAGATCAGCGGCGATCCCGCTCACTACTTGTCTGGACTGGTGCGTTTCAGGTAGTAAAGGTGGCAACCCACAGATGACTCGTGCGAGGTCATGCTGAGACTCTGGTATGAGGTTCTGGATGGATGGCACGGTGTTCGCCCAAACACGAAGGAAGGAAATGAATGGTGCAGGGCAATTTTCGTATGATAGTTCCATTGGTTGAGAGGATGATTTGGACAGCCGTGGAAGCGGAACCGAGGGTGGGTTCGTGGTACATCGTAGAGCAGCAAAATACAGACATAGCGCAGGACCTAGCACAGTTCCACAAAACCTCGTCAGCTATAGGTGATCACCAGGACTTGTTATATATTTACGCACCTGTGATCATCAAATCGCCCTCCGCACTGGCCAAAACATCCGCATCAAGAAGCCGTTCGGCTTTTGCTTGTGTCAATGACGACTTGAGGTAGCTGTGGAAGCTATCCTGAATATATTTCTCCGACAGCTGAGAAGAAGAGTTATTTTGGCTTGCAGGCATGAAGAAAGTCGAGGATAAAAAGTCGAAAGAGTCAGGTCCACTTTTCTGACCGCGTTTTTATTACAGAATCTCCGATGAGGCTGTGTACCGTCATATTACCCACGTGTGGGGGCAGTGGCGGATCATCGGGGGGCGGGAGGCGGCTTCAGCCGACACAGCACAGTCAGTAAACGCCCCAAACCCTACTAGAAGGTAAAATAAAACAAGTAAGATAACGGCAAATCGATAAAAATGCGCAATGGAAGGGCGCGTTTTGAGAAAGAATCTTTTTCAAAAGAAAATCCGAGTATCGCACTGGCAGTTCAACATGGCGGTGTGTAAAGAACGTGATGCTGCGCGCTCAAGTTGGGACTCTTTAGTTGTGCTTGACTATTTGAAAGTCTGAGGCTTACCTTTATTAGCAAGAAGAGATATCATTCCCCTTGACCGCTGGTGCAATGACATTCAAGCATCAAAATATGTGGCTGAGAAATCCAAAAGAGTGGGAAAAAACTGTTTTTGTCGTGAAGGACAGGAAGGAGAAATTACTTCGACGGAGTATATGAGAAGTCTTATACGTATGGCAGGTCTGACCTCTTCGGTTGATAGCCTAAGCTAGGAACATAAGAAGACCGATGCTTCTGCTTTTCACTTTTAAATCTCAATCCTCGGCTTCTCGACACAGAACATTGAACAATAATAAGTAGTCTATTATTGCATAATTTATATACACTTGAAACCAGTATCTTTGAGCGAAATTCGCCTTTCAGCCAGTTTCACCCACGTCCCAATGATATTCAGAGGCATGATTTGTAGAAAATAAGAAAATATTTGAAACAGAAAAAAGAGAAATCTACTATCGTCAGAAGTACCTCAATATCCCCAGAATGATAACTGTATTCAAAATCATTGTACTCTACAATGCGCTGAGCAGCGGGAACCGGCCCAGACCGAGAGCATCAAGAGAGCATGTGCCTCGGTGCGCTCTCCGATGAGCATGACCGCTGTCATGAGATTGACATTTATGTAGCATATATTTAGGAGATCTTATAGACAGAATCCCGGTGTGTCCAACGCGCCTGTGTCTGGCAGTGTGGCAGGCTACGTTGACGCCTGGTCGGGGAGCTGCGACAGTTGTGCGACAGAGCTGCGAGCAGTCACTGTCACTGTCAGTAGTACGCATGGTCGCCGGAACGACCAACCGGTCAGGCGCACTTCATTGTAAGATTACGTGATTGTACAATGTAATGGAAAACCATCGGGCGGAGCCGGTGCATGTTTCATCTCGGCTGTATTCTGCGCCCTTACCCGTTTTTCTACCTGATCGTCCTCAAGGACGATGAGACTTCATTTCCAACAATCTTACACCTGTACTGTGGTTCATTGTCATATCATTCTCAGACAGCGGGCTTGTCCACTAGGGACCTTAAAGTTTGACGACAGGGCGGCGATGAATGACTGCTCCTGCTCTGAGTCTTACGCCATTTGCGCTTCAGAGATGATGGACTTCAAAGATTTTGTGCTTTTATTGATCGTCTAAATTCGGAATTTCAACGTCTCATCTTGGGTGCCTTCTATCGTTGGCATTGAGGGCTTGGTGCTATCTTCCATGCAAAGTCTCTGCGGTGAATAAACCGCCTTATGTCTTTCGTATATTGTGCGGAAAGAGTTTTGCCTCAGATTCTCACTTGCAATTGTCGATACTCGTTGTGTGCCTCTGGAAATTTGTTTCATTTCATTTCATTGCTCTATGGTCAATTTGGGTTATTTCTAACGATCGCAAGAACACTGGGGGTGGGATACCGGAAAGGACCGTTTTCCTCCAGCGGTTGTAGTTGGAGAATTTGAACATTATGTGCGTCTGGAATAACTCCGAAGCTGTTTCGATATTTTATTTCTTGCTCGGGCGTTGTTAATGCTAAACGTGTAGTGAAGTGGTGTTATTCGGGTCTGATACTTCTTGCTATGTATCGGGCGACCCAGGATAGGACAGTGCCCTATATAATGCATTCTTATCATATCAAAGTACTTGCAGGAGCTCCACCAGATTCGAATGCAAACTTACGTTTTATCAAATATCCAGAATATTCTTTTGTGGATCTAAATTTCAGTGGGGCTGCGTGCATTGGCAGTAGAAGGCACTGGCACCGGCTCTCCCAATATTCAGCCTCTCCGCCAGGAGAAAGGATTTAAATTTGTTTCCGATTGTTCTCATTGGGCTACTCATTGTGTCCTTTTCTCGTATACCACAATGGCAGATGAGCTGGATTCTTTTTCTCGGTATTCAAGCACATTTAAGAGGCAGGGCGATGAAGAGCGATAAAATCGGTTGTAATTGCTCTTTCGTTCCTGTATTGAGCACCCTATCATGGTTATATGATCATTTCGAGGGCCGGAGGATACGCTCGGGGTTAGCTAGCGTGCCTGAAAACATCACAGGAGTGCCTCGACCGTGCTAAAAATAACCAAACTGCCGCCGCAATGTCACTTCTCTACAATTACAGCCGCCCAACACTATTCAATGCGGTAGTTCATCCGAGCATCATTCAAATCTGTCATATATAGCATGGTCCAGGAGTGAGTAGATTCCGACATCGAGGCTGTGTGCCAACGCGGTTCCGTGTTGGAATCCCCGGAAAGTGCATCCCTCACGAAATTAATTTCAATAATCGTTCTCCAGACGCAATGGTTACATACGGAAGACGTTTCTATGACGTCCATACTCGGTAAACCAGTCACGCCTTTGGACGTATCTGCATTTCTTGCGTCCTCTTGTGGCTCATGCTAGGTCATATAGCGTAGTGTTTGACTCATTGGCCCCAGTGTTACGGTTCCATTTCCCCTGTAAACCAAACTTATAAATGTATAATGGTTTTGCTATCCCGGTTTACTTCTGAGTCTAGGCTTTTAACATTGGAATGGTGTTCACACCGGTTAAGCCCTTGATAAGGTTTTATTCTTGGACGATTGTATTCGTAATGATGAACTCCAACCTTTCCTTCACTTCAATGTCAGTTACAGGCATTTCTTGATTCCTAAGTTATGATTGTGCACGAATGGGATGTCGAAGGTCTGTGGAATTTCTATTAGAGTTTTGGAAATACCGTCTGGCTGCATCATAACACCGGTCCTGTCAGAGTAAAGTACTACCGTTCGCAGGAGAATTCCATTACTCGTGAATAACGCGGGTTACAACTGTCTTCGACTTCTGAAAAAATACGGTGGATTTATTAGATATAAATTGTGTGAGACTACTCTAACCTCTTTCAAGAAGAAATCAAGTTCAATACTCGTCTCCAACTTACTGGATTGTTTACGAACTTTCTAACTAAATATAAACATTATATACATAATCAGGT